AATTACGCGTGCGTCTTCCCTCGCGGAATCGTAGGCACCGGTTTTTGCGCGACGGTGGCCGATATTTAGCCTGGAGATCGAGGCGCCCCGCACGCCGAAGGATTCCGCGAACCGAGGGGCGGAAAATCGACGATTTGCGATTTCTCCTTCGCGGGATGCGCGCTCGTCAAGTTTCCATCGTTCCTCGTAGACGCGAATTCCCTTCCCAGTGGTTCCTTCGGCCCGAGACCGCGAGAAATCGAGGAGGGCGACCCACCAGCGGAACGCTTCCGATTGGCTCCGCCGGTTTGCGAGTCGCCGCGACAAATCGGAAATATGTATCGGAGGTACATCTTCCGATCTTCACGCGTAGTTCCCTTTTCGTTCCGGTAATCCCCGGATAAAGAGGCTTTGCTCGAAGGAAGGCATCGGCATCCTTTGGGCACGGATAGCGGCCGCGGGAATTCGGGATAACTCGAGAATCTTCTTCTGTTTTTTTTTTAATCGTTTTTCTTTTATTTATTTATTTTTTTTCATTTTTTCTTGCGGGTTGAATACAATTTTTAAGGTTAGGGGTGGATTTTAAATTCGATTTTAACCTCGGTGGTAATTATTTTTTTTCTTTATTCCCGATACCCGATGACGGGCATCGAAATTCGAGCGATTCGGCACGTCGCGCGGAATCGTTTCTCCGAGTGACTGCAGCGCCGGATGCGAAAAAAATCTCTCTCGTTTCTCTTCGGTTCCTCGAAGTCGGGCGAATCGTAAAAGTCACGTTGTAAAATATATATAACGGGCCGCGAGGAGTTGGACTAAGTCGAGGGTCCTCGTTCTTATGCCTTCCCCTTATCGCGCGACTTTACGGCACGCTTAGATAGCCGATCTTCGATATCGCCTTAAGACCCTTTTCCTCGCTTAATCGCGAACGCTCGTGATCGATGACCGACTCGTCGAGGCGGTCCCGGGGCCCAGGAAGGCTTTTTCCCCGAATGGAGCCCGAACCCGGGCTGACGCAAAGTACCGCGAAAATCGTTTTCCAATAAATTACCGCTCTCGGCCCGATAACGTTCCCGTGACTCGGAGATATCTGGGATTAGTCGCCGACTCTCTGACAAGGAATCATTTTAATAATCGTACACACGTACGCTGGTACCCCCCTTCCTCGTCATAACTTTGCGGTTAGGATAATTGTTCCAACGGTACAACACGGTACAAAGTGAGTGCAATTTGGCAGGAAAAAAAATTTCTAATTTTCGGAAAAGTAGGGGCCATTGGGATTATCTGGATGCCTTGGAAATTTGGCCCTTGCCTGGAGGATAAAAAAAAAATCGATACAGATTTTCGGGCGGAATGGAAAACGTGTTTCGAGTCGACGAAACGATGGGTGCTCGGGGAAGACTTGCCTCATGGCAAGGTCCGGCCCGACGGAATCCCGGTCGTTTTGAGGACGAGAGTCGGATTCGCGAGACCGGTTAACGCGACGCTTCCTGAAACATGAGGTAATCCTCGAGCTTGTCTCGAACCGAGGACGATCGTCCGACCGTCCCACCGGACGACGCCCGCGCTCTTGACCACCGACAACGAGGCGCGTCCGCCCGATCGGGACCTTCCCGCGTCCGTCGAGAAAGACGAATCGCTTCCCGGCTTATCTTACTTCCGACCCATCGAGGCCAAGCCCGACTCGTTTTCTCGAGAGCGGACGAGAAGTCGTCTAAATTCGTAGGATCGCGAACGAGCTGACAAGGGGTTGGAGGAGAGGGCATCTTTTATGCAGCATTGAATTTCAAGGAAATTCCCCTTTCCGCGTCGGCGGAACCATAGGACTCCTCGCCGCGAGGGCGCTTCCCAATTTGCGGTTAACCTCGTTTTTGCGACGAGCCGTTTTAACGATACCGTCGAATATACGAGATCCTCCGGTTAACGTCCCGGGATGCGTCGAACGCTCGGAAGAGCGGAGAGCACCTCGCGACGAGGAGTCAAGGGGAGATCCCGTCCCTGTCTTTCCGCCGAATGCAATTCCGGGCCCCGACGTCGATTTCCAAAAATTTTCTTCCAATCTCTCCGGAGCTCGTTCTATCGATTCCCGCCCGATCGATCGACAAAGTCTGCCCGGGCGGATCCCTTTCCGCCGATTTACGGTCGGTCCGGTTTCGCGACGGACCGTTTTGCTGATCCGGTCGGATACCCGAGACTCTGCTGAGCGTAGCGCGCACGAGGCGTACCGTTCGCTACCTCGAACGCTACCTCATCGGTTGCGTAACCCGGTCGGCCCGGCCTGCCCGACCGGCCCGATCGGCCCGACCGCATCGGCGCTACACGTGCGAACTCTCGTCCTCGGCCGCCTGCAGGTCGGGCCGGGATGCGATCGGACCGGCGTCCTCGTCGCGGCCGTGGAAGCGCCTCCTCGGGTTGCACGCTTTCATCTTCCTCGAACGTAGTGGAAATATTTTGGATTTTTAGGTAACGATCCCTCCTGTTTTTAAGAGAACGGAGACGTCTACCGTCCCCTAAACTTCTGCCCTGCGTTTCCGAGGATTTTCCATTTTCCGGCTCGGACCGTTTTGTTCCTGCCTCTTCCGGAAGACTCGGAGTTCCTCGGAGAGATTCCTCGAAGCTGGCTCCGTATCTCCGGGTACACCGGGGGTTTGTGTTCCCTTTTTCCTCCCTCTCTCTCCCCGGGAAACGCTTTATCAAGTTTTCCGGAGAGTTTCGCCCGGACGGGGGCGGATCCCTTTCCGGTATCCCGAGATTCTCAGGAATTTCATTGATATTCCCGGGAGGACGCTCGCTCGGGACGGGACTTTCAGGGGACGAGTCCTTTCGGGGCCGACGTTCTCGCGGGGGCTTCCCGCGTACCGTTTCGCGAAACTCGGGAATTCCAGACCTCGCGGTGACGAAATTTTTATTCCGAATTTTCTCTCGATTTTCCCCGACCTCGTCCTCGCGGGTCCCCCGGGGAAAGGAAACGCATCGGCCTTCCGCTCGACGCGATAATCCACGAGCGAATCCAGGAAAAATATGAAGGGTCGGTCCGTCGTCGTGTTTCCGAGAGTAGAGCCCGATTCGCGTATCGATCGCGCGATCGATTCTCGACTCGTGATTTATTGGCCGCTATCGGGTCGGCTCTGGCTTTCGCGCCGATAATCCCTACGCGGCTCGTCCCGACCGGGCGGCTCTCCGGACAAAATTTTGCCCCCGAAAAACCGTCCACCCGATTTTGGTCCGTGGAAATCGTGCCGGCCAAAGTTCGCTTCCGGACGCTTTTTTTTTTTCTCCGACTTTCGTTTCGTCGCTCTCGAGATGGCCCAAGAAATCGGTTCCCTGCGTTCGGTTTCGCGTGGAAAATCGGAAAAGAGGCGCAAGTCACTCTAGCGGAAATTTCCTATGCTCGGACGGGATATTTTTTCCCGCTCGTTGCGCGGTTTACCTACGGCGTAAGTGCCGATCGTAAGAGCGGAAGCAATATCCCCGAATTAAAATCCCCGTCGCAGCAATTTGTCCCGGGCGGAGAAATTCCTGGGGTGCGTTAACGCCCGCGAAGTTTCCTTTCCCCAGGAGTCCCGGGAGGAGAGAACTTTCCTTCGGACTGCGATCCGCGAATCAGAAATCCATCTCACGAAGAGCGGAGCCACGTTCGGCGTCCCGGCGTCTCGGCGTCATACCGTTAACCCAGAAAGAAAGGACTCCCCGTCGAAGTCGCGTCCGGTGCTCGTCCGCGTAGCCGGAGATCGAGGCGAAGCTCGGTAAACGTAAAAAGAGGGCTCTCTCTCGCCACAGGAAGGAAAAGGGAAAGGGGGAAAAATGCAGTTATGGATCGCGAAATCGATTCGCGATTCGTCCGGGACGTTTTGCCGGTTATCGCGTCGCCGACCTTGCCGAGCTCGCCGATCGATGCTCTTGGCAGCCGAACTCGATTCTGGCTCGCCGCCACCGCAAAATCGACTTCTCTTGGTAATTCCGCGACGGCCGGACCGTTTCCCAGGACATACCCAGGCGCGACCAAACATTGCCCGAAAATACGTCCGACGCGAGTTTCGATAATTTTTATCACCCTTTCGGCGTCGCCACCCCTCATTAACTTTCGTCGTTTCCCTCTATCGACGATCGTCGGTCGCCGTGGAAATTCATTTATCGTCGCTTCTCGCCGACGAAAGACAATTTCGAAAGGACGAGGTTTACGTCTCCTTCCTCTCTCGTTCCGCGGAACTCTCGGTATCTCGTGACAGGGGCCGCGATAAAACTCGGCGTGACTCAACGTTGAATTACCCCGGGGATGACGACGTTGACGGCGGTTTATCATCGAAGGTAATTCCGAGTGCAACGTTTTCCGCGCGCCCGTCAAAATACGGGCCAGTCGGGCCTTGGGTACCGCGTTATCGCGGCTTCGTTTCCTCCTCGTCCGCGACGCGGACTCGCGGTGCATACGTTACGAGGCGACGGCCGGTCTCTTTCCCTCCTTTCCCTCCCGGAGTCGCGAAAAGAAATTGCCGCGTTCGTCTCTCGCCTCGCATCGGAACCGCGTCCGCGCCCTCGGATCGACTTTGTTCGGGCCGCGGGCCTCCTTCCTCTCTTTCGTTTCTGGACCTCGTCCCTTTCCGTAACGCGTACCTCGCGGATCCCTCCGCGACGTCCGTTCATTCCGTGGCGGTCCGTATTTTCCAGCGGCGCCTAGTTTTCTCCTTTCCCCTGGCGGGCCGGGGTATTTCCTTTCCTTTCCGTCCGTCTCTTTTTTCCCGCTCGTCTTCCGCTCCTCCTCCGCTGCCCTTCCCTCTCCGAGTTTTTCTGGCGGCGGCGCTGCGGGCCAGCGGGAGCGGCGAGAGAGAAGGAGACGCCAGGCGCCGCGAGGAGAGAGCGAGAGGGACGCCCGCCGGCAAGAGTCGCGGCGTAGCGCGCGACGCGCACGCGCACACGCGGGGATCGCGCGTCCCGCGTCGCGGCGGCCTGCCCCCTCCCCTCCCCTCTCCTCTCCTCGGACGGGAGTCGACTCCGACGCCACTGGACGCCAGTCGCCGTTACGCTCGCGGAGGGCACGCTACGGGCCGGACGTCGCGCCGAGACGAGCGACGCGCGCGGCCCTTATCGCGGACCGGCGTCAATCTCGATCCCGGATACGGAGGCGCGGTCGGTCCAGGAGATCTCTCCCCGGCTTCCGGACGATGTGAAATCCCCAGGCGAAAGTGCGCGCCAATCGCCGAGATACGCGGACGCGCCTCCGGGGGGACGACGGAGAATCGACGGAAAATCGGCCCAAGGGAGAGGAGAGACTCGGAACCCTAGGCGCGGCATGGCCGCGCGGAATCTCTCGAGCGTCGTCCCCGTCGCCGCGTGCGAGGCGCGGGTTTCCGGAAGATAGACCGCGGGTTCCGCTCGCGCGTCCTTCCCGACCGGAGGGATCCCCGCGACTGGCTCCCCGTGGGCGCGGCGAGGGGACGACGCCGCCGCGCCGCCGCGCCGCAAGCGCCGAGATCTCGAGGTCGAGGTGGCGCGGACCCGGGATGGCGGCCTCGGCGAGGGCCGGGCCCTGAGGCGGCCCCGCGCCCCCAGGGCCGACGATGCCTCCTGCCCCGGGAGGACGGCCCCGGAAGACCAACGCCGAACGATTATGCAGCTGAAGAAAGCGATGCTCAAGATATTCGATCAATGTGAGTCGGCCCACCGGGTGAGAAGTGGATCCCAATTTTATCGGGGATCGGCCGGCGCTTTATTTTCGGCTCCGGGCGTCGTCCGGCGTCCGTTGGCCGCGTTTTCGCGTTCCCCTCGCGCGGAAAGGAGGTTTCCCGATTTAGCCCGGCGAGACCGCGGATCGCGCCCGGTACCGCCGAATCTCTTTTTTTTTCCATCCCGTTCCGCGTACCGCGTGGTCGTAAAGTCGCGTCGCGGGGAATCCGCCGGTCGGAAAAAATCTCCGTCCCCTCGCGACTACCCCGGCCGGAAGGAGCGTTATCGGGCCCCGTCTCTCGCTCCGACGCGGAAGAGCTTCCGGGATCATCGGCACTTTTCATCCTTGCCCGTAAAGAGCGTTCCCTTTTTCGACCCGATTTTCTTTTCCTTCGCGGGGTCCTCGGTCCCCGGGAGGGAGGAAAAATTCCGGGAAAACGGGCACGTCTAATTTTAGGAGGTGCCTTCGGAGTTTCGAGACTCGGTCCTTCCTCACGGCGACTGGGAGAGTTTGCCGGGATCGAGGAAATCGACTTCGAGACGCGCCGCTCGGCTCTCGGTGATTTAACGCGATGGAATCTCGTTGATCGTTTTCCCCCTCGATACGGAGAAGGAGAAGCGACGAATTCGTTCCCGCGGCCGGCGACGCCCCGCAAGGAACCGCCGTTTCCGCGTCGATCTCGATCTTCGAGGGGAGTCGCGCGATCGGAATTCGATTTAAATGGAAATCCGAGGTTTCTCCGCGAATGGCTATTTTTTTTTTTTTTTTTTCCCACATCGCTCGTACCTTCGGGCGCTTTACCTCGAGCCGGGAAAGAGAGAGAGCAACGCGCGCCGCAAATGCCAAAATATGAAGTAACGGTTTGCATCATGGGAGCGTTTCTACCCGGCTTGGCCCGAAATGGCAGAAATGCGCCTAAGAATGCACTAATCGAAGTTTCCGTACCTCGGGCATCGAGCACGCGCACCGATTCATTGCTTTTCCACGTGACGAGGATTGCGCCGCCGCGTTTTCGCGTGACTCGCCCGATGTGGAGGAAAAGGATTATTTATCCTCGAGGAATTTCGCGATCCGCGCGTTAACGCCGATTGCATCGCCGCTTGCCGCTACAAAGTATTAAATCCATCCTCTTGCGAAATCCCCTTGCTTTTGCCTCGTCAAAACCGACGTCGGGAATTTCGATCGAATGGCATCTCGGTCCTAGATTTTATTAATAGAGAAAAAAATGTAACAAAAATTCGAAAAATACGCCGGTCGGACCATCGAGCCGTGTAAGAGACGATGGTTGAAAAAATACAGGAAGAGGAGGAGATGGACGAAGCGTCGAACTCGAAAGTGACGACACGACCTTTCGGAAATCTATCGAAAAACTGGCGGGTTGCGACTTTTTAGTCCAGGCGGTCGTTATCGATGCTCGACAGCTGCGCAAACGAGGAAGGCGACGAATCGAGACCGAGGGAATCGCAAACTTCCTGGACGAGCCGTCGAGAAACTCTCGAAGACTCGAGACGTCTCGGCAAGTTCCGGAGAGGGAGGACCGACCGGGGGAATTTATTTTCCCCGCGTCTCGTCGGGGTTTTAAAGGAAGCTCCAGCTCTCGGGAAAATCCAACTTTTCCTTTGGTCCTTCGCGGCGCCGAAATTCCGAGGTGCCGACCGTCGAAACAAACTCTTGTCTTTACGTCGTCGGGAAACGCAAAACGTCCTTTTCGTTAGGAGGACGTTATTATTTCGGCAAATCTTTCCGCCGCGGTAGGAGGAAGGATTCCGCGAGTGGATTCGAAGACCCGTTCTCGATTCAGCCTCGTCACGCCTCCAAGGCGACCGCGGTTTAAATCTTCCGTAAACGCGGAAAACAAGAGCGGAATGCAGAAAGTGTCCTTTTGGGCCGCCGTCGTCGCGCGGAAATCCTCCGTAAATCTTCCGCCGGTTTGCGGGAGTCTCGGTGAAACTCCTCGTGGTGGACGCGCGGTCCGATCGAAACTCCCGGGGGAGCTCTCCTTCTTCCCTCGAAGTCCTCAGGGCTCTCCCGCGAGGGGAGAGATCCTTCCTCGGGGAATTTCAAATTCCAATGGACGCAAATCCCGGCCGTTTAGGAATTAAAGCTCCGCCGAATCGAGCCTTCTTCCCTCCTTGGGAATATTAACGAGTTGGCTAGGTCAGGGTGGAAGGTCTCTCCTCCCCGGGACAATCGATGGGGCCCGGTCTTTGCGGACGGAAACTCGATCCCGCCCGAACGTCCGTCGATACGCGTTATCGTTACGCATCGTTGACGCAATAATACCCCGGCCAATAAGGACAACCGTGATAATTGATTCCCGACGAGACTCGCCAAGGATGCCTCCGCGCCGCGCGAGGCACCCTGTCGATCGCTTCCGTTAACGCCAATTAAACGGCAAATCGAGCTACGGGATCCCGTCCCCGGAAAGGTGAGCGTTTCCTCCGGAGATGGTTCGCGGCAGGTCGGGATGAGGCCGTGAACTCCGAACTCCGACTTTGGATGTCTCATTTTCCCCAGAACCGAGGAGAGCCCGAACGCAAACCTACTTTCCCTCTGGATTCTTCCTGCCTTGCGTTGAAACGATGTCGTTTACATTTTGGGAGATTTCAATTCAAGTCAATTTGGGAAATTTCAATTCAAGTCATTTTGAGTGATATCAATTTAGGTCATTTTGGGAGATATCAATTCAGGTCATTTTGGGACCGCCGAGCTGGGGAAGTTTTTGCGTTACTCGACCCTGTGGAGAGGATCCGTTTGAAAGTTTTCCCTCTTTGAGGGGATCGCTCGGAAAGTTTCCGGACTCCCCGTTGTTCCGGCGTAAGGCATTTTTCCAGGAGGTAATCCGAGGACGAGCCACCGGAGCTAGGGGGGGAAATTAGATGTTTTCTTCCCTCGAGACGGGGTTTTTCCGCGGATCCGGGCAGAGAGGTTTTCCTTGCGTCGGTTGACCCGGTATCCGCTCTTCGAACGGAGTCGGGGCACTTTGAGAAATTAGATCGATGATTCACGGTTCGGAATCTGGCATGCGTTGGGACGAGCCCCTCTCGCCCGTGCGAATCGGGAAGTGCGTGACCCTCCGAGGAGTGCCCGACCTCCTCTTTTTCCCGCCCTCGCGTGGGCCAAGTTTCGATATAACGCCTTTATCTCGAGGCTCCTGCCAAAAAACTGTTAATCGAGCACCTCGGGAATCTCGGCCGCGTCGGTGACTCGAAAACGGAGGATCTCGCGAGAGACGACTTATCGGACCGGAGGATCTAATCGGCGCGCAATTGCCGGCGACGATTGCGTCGGCGAGATACGAGGCGCCTCTGAATTGCGGCTCGATTATCGTTTATTTATTTACCTTGAGAAGAGCCGAGGCGAGTACTCGCCGCGAGTCGCGTACGAGCGAGCGGCCTTCCATTAAACCGCCTCGACGATTATTTATCGCGCGATAATCGTGCGCGGGAATCCTCATCCGGAGCACGGAGAGGACTCCCGAGGTGCATTTCTTTTTTTTTTTTTTCCATTCCGAGGAAATTTTCCGTTTCGGGGATTCGGAGTCCGACGACGACGTTAGGCCCAAATCGTTCCTCGTCGTTCTCACGTAGGTGCGTTTCTTCTTCTCGGCTTTTTTTACGCAACTCGACGTACGCGGATGTCTCGTATCGCGAGGCGATTCCGCTTTTGCCGCGAGCGATATATCGCGGGATTAGCGCCGATTATCGAGAGGGATTTTTTATCGTTTCCGGTTAAACCCGGCGCACGAAATATGGGGCCGAAAGGTTAAAAGTAAGCCGGGTCGCGCCGCTAGAATAGGATGCAATTTCCCGCTTTGGCGGGGCGTAATGTCGAAAAATGTCCTCTGTGAAAGTTGTAGCGAGGGTCGTTGGGAGCATCTTTTGTAGGAAACGTTTTCTCGTATCGCGAAGCGTCGAGGCTCGGGCTTCGTTTGTTCGACACGCGTGCCGCCTCGGGAGGTGCCTTTCCCCTCGGGAATCGGGAATGCCATCCGAGAGGACGGAGCTCGAAGATCCGCGAGGGGACTCGCGATATCCGCCGATGCGATTTGACGTAAAAAACGGACGTTTTCGGGGGGTCGTGAACTGCTTCGATAACGCGAGACCGATTCTCCCCGAAGGAGAAGAAAATAGGGAAAAAAATCAATTAGCCACATTTCACGCCTTGCCGTCAAAATATTGTCTTTTTAAAAAGTTGTTTTCTCTCGTTTAAGAAAATTCCCAGATTTTTGGCCAACCGATTTTTTCCGAAGCTTTAATTTCGGCAAGGGATTTCCCAAAAGGAGGGGATATTTCTCGAGGTCTAGACGGGGTAAAAAAATCCATTTCTCTGCCAGGAGCACCGCCCCGGAGGGAGCTCGCCGCGTAGGTGGGCACGTGCTCTCGAGGACGTCACCGGATCCGCGGTTTCGGGATGACGTAAAGACGAACTCCGCGGATCGATCTTTCGGGAACCGACGAGTGGCCGCGAGTCCCCGACGGGGGCGATTCTCCCAGGGGAAGAGAAAAAAAAAAGCCGCGAAAAAAGTGCCCGGAAGACGGAGGTGGACGAACTCGAGAAGAAACTCGCCAACCGAGCCGCGGCAGAAAACGACTTCGCGTCTCTGGAACGGTCTTCGAATCGTCCCGATTGATTTCGAGGTTCGATCAAGGGCCTCGCGAGTCGACGTCGCGCTAGGACAATTGGGCCGACCGATTTAGAAAATCCTCCTCGGCGTAAAAAAATCCGTAAAGCGGAAAAACGTCTATTGACTCTTGGTCCGTAATTTTGCAAAGCACCGGAAACGATCGAAATCGACGGGGGAAATCGAGCCGCGAATCGATTCCGCCGTCGGGCCGTGAAATCGCGCGATTCGGAAAGTGGCTACGCACTCGCGGCGAGATGAGCGATACGTGGAACGGCGCGTGAATGGAAACTCCATTAACCGGCGACGGACACGACGACGCCGCATTTCCGCAACCTCGCGATCGCGTCGTCGCGGGTCAATGGTGAGCCGATGCGATAACACGTCGAGCAACGAGCACGCGAGCCGGCGTGGATGTGCCCTCTCGCCCGTGGACGCGCCTTTGTAATACGCGGACGCGAGCATTTGCATGCCTCCGCGCGTCACCCGGACGGCGCTCGCATCCGCCGCGTCCGGCCTCGCTCCGAGGGGAAAAGTCGCCGCTTCCATCGAGGGCTGAAATTTCCGAAAAGTTTATCGGAGGGCCGAAAAGAAAATCCCGAGTCGAAGATTTCCTTTCGGGGCGTTTCACGAGCGAACCAAAAGATTCGAGCAACGCCGCCGGCATTTTGGTCCAAAGTCAATGGACTTCCGGTTCCGGCCGAAATCACGAGTCCAGGGCTTTTCGGGAACTTTTCCTCCGGCGTGGGAGATAACGTCGGGAGATTAGGTCGTCGAAGCATCCGAGGAATTCGGTGGAGTCGTTATCGCCGTTTAATTATCGTCGCAAAAGAGGAGGTCGTAATTACGAGTTGGCCGACCGAGGCAAAAGTCGCGGGTGTCGAGCTCTTTTTCTACGGAGGTTCCGGACGTCAAGGCCGACCCGGGGTTCGGCTACGAACCCTCGACGTCCCTCGACGATACGCGCTTCCGTTTCGCTATCGTTCGCGCGAGTGCTCGCGAACTGGCGTTCGTGGAGTCGCGGAAGGTCGCCGCGATGGGAGTCTTTTAAACCGCGGTCCGGAAGGATGCGACGCGAGGCGCGGCTCCGAGAAGATCGCAGTCGGGAGCGACGCTCGCTTCCCTAGGACATACGGAAGCTGCGAGCGGATTTCCCGCTTCGGAGATGGAGGAACGGTTATATCGTAACGGCGGTTCCTTCCGCACTCCTTCCAAAGACCTCGCGTCCTCAGGAGAAGTTGCGAGGTCCTCCCCGAGGATCTCCCATCGATCGCAGGAATTTAATTCTCATTCTCTCTCCCCCTTTCTCATCGGGCCGCGTCCCCTGTTAAGGAAAAAAATTGCGTCTCGAGGCTCCTTCGCGCGTCCCTTCTCCTGGGGATCCGATTCTTCTTTCCGCAGCCGCCGCCATTTTGGTCCCGCGAAACTTCGTCGAGAAAATCATTTAACGTTTCAGCGGTCGTAGCTCGAGTGCTTAAGTCCTTTCAAAGTTAACGGGCTCCGATATCCTTCGCAAGCCCGCACGGTGGTGCAGGCTGCGGTCGCGCGTGGCGACGTTATGCGGTTTTCCTTTGATGTGCAATATCCGCTCGCGGCCCGACATATGCGATGCGCGAGGGAGGCCGTGGAGCTTCGATGCACCCTTCTCGATACGATCCTTCTTCTCTCGCTGGCCCGTTGCTCGTCCTCTCGTTAAAAACGACGTTTGCGCGGTTTACGGATTTTCCAAGCCATTTCTCTCGTAACCGAAGGCGAAGGAGCTTTTCCCAAATTTTTTTACCAAGGTCTGGATTAATTGTTTAATCATTTTTGCGTACCAGGGCCTAATCTGTTTTTCCGCGTCCGGGCAATTGGGGGCAAGATTGGCGGAAAATCGGTGACACCGGTAACGGGGATATTTTGGAACGTCGCGAAAAAGGGTCGATCAATGGGGAGAAGAGACGTTCGAACAAGGCGCGGATTAAGCTCGAAGGGAAATGGAGAGCTCTCGCCGGGCTCCATTTAGCTGGGATTCCGCGATTCGTTAACCGCGCTTTCCGCGCGGCTTGCAAGCTCCGGATATCCACCGGGCCGGGCGTCGAATGCCGGATGGAAAAACACGACACGGCTTACGGGTAAATTTCCTACGAGGGAGCGGCGGAATACGGCGAAAGCCTCTATGGTAATCCGTTACCATCGAGCTTTCCTCCGCTTCACGGACGAGCTGGCAAAAGCTCCCCGGCAGCTTTCCATCCGGCCTCTCCTGTCGCTCGCGGCCGACCTCCCCATTTGCATTCGCTAACTGTTCCGACTAATATACGCGCACGGGGCGGAACAATACGCTTATTAGATTTTAATTAGTGCGCCAAGCTTTCGGCCAGGACCTACGTATATGGCATATCTACCAGATTCTAACAGTCGCTGACCGTTCCAACCAACGTTAGGAACGACGCGCTTGGATGTCAATTTTTCATGAAAACACTTTATTTCCGGCCACAAAAGATTTTCTAGAGCTTTTGAAAAATTAATTTTAACCCGTTCGCAAGTTTGGAAACTCTTCAAATTGAGAGAGGTCGCTCTCCCTGTTTCTATATTAAATCGATTAATCTGGGAAAAAAATTCGATACTTTTACGCTGCCTCGTGGCCTTTCGCGAGTCCATCTTTTTTCAGGGAGAAAGGTAATTTCGGTTGCAAGACGCGGTGCATCGGGTCGTTGACCCGTCTTAAAGGCCTTTTCGAGGACGTTCCCAGGTGAATAAAGTTAATGGGTTAAGGTCGGGGACCCGTTAAGTAAGGAAGTTGGAGGTTCCTCTGCTTCCTGTCCGCCAGGGTCGACATTTTTGCCGATAAATTGTCGCCAAAGTCGATCGCGTGGGTGGCCGGCGATCTCTAGTCGATTGCCCGCCCTGCAATCCCGATGCGTTAGGGTACGTGCTGCATACCGAACGCCCGTTTGAATGAATTACCGATCGTTACGCACCACGTGTACGCGTAACAACTCGCCGATCGATTCTTCGCGCCCAGAGCGAAGTCGTCTCTGGGTGCCTCTACGAGCGATACTCCTCCGCTAAAGATAAAAAAGAAATAAGAGGTGCACTTTGGAGCGAGGGAGTCTGCCGCGATTTATTTATTCTTTCTTTTTTTCCCTACCTATTTTTTGCCTCCAGAGATTTTCTCGCCGTTATTAATTCACGGTTACGCGCTCGTTACGACCGAGCCGATCGATCGTTAACGCTGGACATTATCGGGCCGAGTAAAAATATCCATTTTTTGTCGCAATTAAAGGAAACCCGTAAATTCGAATGCCGAGACCGGCGCACCTCCGTGGCGAATCCATTAATGTGGAATTCTCCCTCGCAACTTTTACGGAGTCGTTTTACCCACACGTAACGACACCTCGATCAATACCTACTTAACATTCAATGTCATCGCTTTACCTCGCCTTTGGAAAAAAAAAAAAAAAAAATCCACGTTACTCTACGCGTTCCGAGTGAATCCATTATCGCGCAGTTCTTCTCCGAGACTTTTATCGTGCAATTGTGCTCTTCGTATGCACACTTTTGCTCGTATCCTTGAGCGCATCTCTTACATCCAACCTGACTTCTTTTTTCAATTTTTCCCAGTTCCATCGATTTTTAAATTTCCACGAGTCCGACCCTCGGCACGGCTGGAGAGATTCTCTTGGGGCTTTCGCTTCGGAGCTTTGCATATCGCGTTCCAATTAGCGGCTCGCGCCTCGAAGCTCATTAAGGCGAGTCGAAGAGAAATCGACGTCACTTTGTCCTTAAACAAATGATCCAGGACCATTTCTCAGCGTGCTCATCGCCCTTCCTGGGGGAATCTCGGCCTCTCCCGTCTTCTTTTATGCCTCGAAGTAATTAACGCCGTTCATAGGTAGTCGGAGTCTTTTCGCCGAGACTTTATGGAAAAGTTCGGGCCAAGTTTCGAGTCGATCGGTCCGAGATCTTTTCGAGAAGTGCACTTCGAGGGCGCCTTCGCGCCGCAGCTGCGGCAAAATGGATAACTCTCGCAATTAGGTACGCCGGATGCTTACGCTCTCTCGGTTGGCGGGCCGAAGGGGCGCAAAAAAAGGACCTCGTCCAAGGAACGCTTCCAGGAAAACCCGGGGGGACGATCCCGGATTTTTTCCTCCCCTGACTTTTATTTCCCTTCCGGTCCAATCAGCGGTTCGCTTAAACGAGAGGGAGCTTTCTTGCCTCGGACGTGTCCCATACGACCGGCGGGTATTCCTCCTTGCCTCCTTGAGCGTATAATGAAAAATGTTACAATCAAAGTCTCGGACACGTCGTTTACGGTTGCGTTAAACCTCCCCCAATTATCTTGGCTCACCTTAAAGAGGACTGGGATTTTTTCCGGGTACCTACGTCGCGTGGGTCTCTTTTCCTCCAAGGAGGCATTTCCATTCCCCACGATAAGTGGGATAAATACTCGGGAACCTCTTTTCGGGAACCGTTAACGAATAATAACGGGCCCAATCGTCGGCGAAACGTCCTCCGGCACCCTCCCGGAAACCGAGGGAGGATTCCTACTGCCCCCGCGATCGTAATTCCTCGCCCTTCTTCGTCTCCGCTTTCACGCTTTCGTCGGGAGGCACTTCCTTCCTTCCCTCCCCCTGGGAACCTGCAGGGAATAAAAAATACATCTTTGAATTTACTATGAAATGGTATTAAACCTCCCACCCTTCCTTCTTACCTTGGGATGCGCGTACCGATCGTTCGCTGCTCTTCCTCTAGCGCAGCGCTCCTTTTTATTTTTGGAAACGTCGAATGTCCAACACTGAATGCGATTTCCCCGTTTAATAGGGTCCATCGTTCTGTTGCAGGCCTGCACTTGCGGAGCATCGAAGAACCGAGGATGACGGCGGAAACGGCAGCCCCGGGCGTTCAGGGGGTGCAGAGCGTCCAGGGCGTTACCGCGGGACAGGCGAGTCCGCAGCAGTCCCAGGACTCGAAATCCGGAGGATATCATTCCTCCATGTCGGCCGTGTACGATCCGGAGTACGCGCGAATGGAGGCATGGCTAGACGAGCACCCCGACTTCGTCAGCGACTATTTCCTCAGGTAACGCCCGACGAGGTCGAAACTCGAGAGTCGAGGACCACCCTGGGAATTCACCTCCAAACGGGGCGGACTCGTCGCGTTGCGCCACCTCGTCGACTTAACGATAGGAAGAAGAAAAATTAAAAAAAATGTCCGAGCGCGTTCCCGCGATGCAAAGTGTTCCGCAAAAGTGAATTCGTCGCGTAACGCAAAGTTTAATTATGCAGGGGTTAATTACATGCGGTGGATATGTTAATACTCGACAGGCTGCTCTCGTTACGCTTCGAGTTCCTTTGCCTTTTGCGTTGACGTTATTTTTTAATTTTTGTTTTCCTCTTTCTTTGTTTTTCCTTTCGCGTGCCAGGATCGGTTATCACGGGAGCCCTGGAACGTGGCAGGGCGTTCAGCGTTAGGTTTGACATCCGCGAACTCGATCGAGCTCGTTAACGCGGCGCTGGCGCGATAGGAGCGAACTCTTACCTTTCGACTCTTACGCCTCGAGAGAGGCACTCTCGGACTCTTTGTCGAGTACGCAAGTGGAGCACATTAAATATGCAGGAATGGCCGAGCGCAGCCGCCTTAATGGCTTTCCATTAATATTTGCAGTTATCGACGCCAATTTGGATACGCCCACGGCGGCCGAATAGCGCCTCGCTTTTCAGGGGAGCTTTTGACTCGCTGCCGGCCGAAATGTCGCGCGTCGTCCCGGCCTAATCGGACCACCGAAACCCTTATCGGCCTTATTTTAGGGTCCCACGCCTTTTCGCTCGTATCCCCTCGCCAAGATCGAAGTAGGGCATAAATAATTATTAAGGAATTAAAACGCTTCGGGCCATCCCCGGGCATCCTCCTTGCTGTCTCAAGAAAATCGAAATTTTCCGGCAGACTCGGGAGAGATGTCGAAACGATTTTCGGACAAATGTTCGGCGTTCGTAGAGGGGCACGTTTCGTTTGGAGAATTCTTGCGCGATGTCGGATTAAGAGGGAGAACTGGATTATTTTTGGAGAAACCCTAGGCGGGATTTTTTAGGGGTACGTAGAACGTTGTCGAACGGATTAAACGTGGGAAACGTCACATGCGCCGAGCACATCCGAGGATAAAAGCGTCGATTCAGCTGAATCGTGAACGAGGAGAGGGAGGAAGTCGTACGTAATCTCGTCGATGGGTAAAAAGATTGATTAGTGTCGATGTCAACGTCGGCCCTGCCAAAGCGGAGGGTAGGAAAGTGGCCTCGTCTTGCATTTTCCGCCCCGTTACCGTAGATTCTCCTTTCGAGGTACCTTTCTCCCGCTTTCGTCGTGACTTCCGCCAGGCTCCTCGCAGTTCCCCGATTCTTGCAGAAAAGTTACGAGGCAGACGGTGGACATGTGGCTGGTGTCGCACGCGACGCCGACGTCCTCCTCGGGAAGCTGCATGGAGCTGGCCAGCCCGACCCACGGGGGAGGGACGTCTTCCTCCGGCCGCGGAGGATCCGGGGGGTCGGGGGCGACCACCCCCGTGCGGAAGATTTCCGCCCACGAGTTCGAGAGGGGCGGCCTACTAAAACCCATCGTCAACACCATCGACGGAACCCCGACCTTCCTCAGCGTCTCCCCCGGAGACTCCAACCAGACCGGAAGTCAGCAAGTCGGGAACGTCAATGCGGGAAGGCCCCAGAGGAGGTCGAGGCACGAGCTCAGGCACCTCGACGAGAAGGATCTCATTTTCGAGCTGGTGATTATTCACGAAAGATGCTCTCCGGTATCGCGCAGAGGATCGAAATGACCGTAAGGGCGCGTTTCTTCCCCCAGGTGAAGGACATCTGCAACGAGCTGGACGTGAGGTCGCTCTGCCACAAGATCCTGCAGAACGTGAGCACTCTCTTGCACGCCGACAGAGGCTCGCTCTTCCTGGTCCAGGGCGAGAGGGGCGGTGGTTGCATGCCCTCGTCGCAGAACCACGATTTCGGTTCCGGAAATGGCGGCATGGCGAGGAACCACACCCCAAAGAGCAGCCATTCCTCCTCGCGGGGTCGGTGTCTGGTGTCGAAGCTCTTCGACGTCTGCTCCCGATCGACCCTCCTGGAGATGGAGAAAAAGGAGGAGATCAAGATCCCCTGGGGCACGGGGATCGTCGGATATGTCGCCGAAAGTGGCGAACCGGTTAACATACCAGACGCATACAAGGCAAGGTTGCCCTTTGGCGAAATTTACATTTCTCTGGGGTCTTCCCATTTCTTGCTTTTTTTTTCCTTCTCCTTTCTCTTCCCCCTTTTTTTTCCTTTCTTTTTTTCGCCATGAGCGACAACCTCGCTCCGGTATCTGCGCCGGAGTCGCTTTTACTCCCTTTGCACTGACATTTGCATTATGCCGGGTGTTTTAACTTTTTTCTTTTTTTTTCCACCCCTTTTAGCCCTCTTCCCTTCGGGCCGATATTCGCACCTCGATCAGGTTCCTTTTTTTTTTATTCGAGTCTCCTCGCGGAGTGTTTAGACTTCCGTGTGCAACGAGACGTACCCGATGGAAATGTCTCTCTATAATTAGATTTAATTTGGATCGCCTCTCGTGAACGAGCTATCCGAGAACCTGGGGCCTCTCCTCCGTGACTCACGAGTCGGTTAACTGCTTAATGAACTTCCGAGGAATAACTAGATTCCATTGTCGCGTATCAAGTTTGGAGGAATCTGTACGAGATGGAGACCAATTTCCCGTTTTTCCTGGATATGGAGATACGGACGCGATCTCATCCTTGACTTTAACTCGTTTCAGGACTCGAGGTTTAATCGGGAAATCGATGCTCTGACCGGGTACAGGACGAGAGCCCTCCTCTGCATGCCCATAAAGGACTGCAGTGGGGACGTCGTGGGGGTCGCCCAAGTTATCAACAAATTGGGGGGCGAGGGACAATTCACCAGTCAGGATGAGAAAATCTTCGCAGGGTATCTGCAATTCTGCGGAATCGGCCTGAGAAACGCCCAGCTATACGAGAAAAGTCAGCTGGAAGTCAAGAGGAACCAGGTGAGGCGATGGCCCGCGCGATTTGATCGATTAAAAAGGAAAAAAATAATTTCTTTACGGGATTATTAGTTTAAAAGACCGAGAAGTTCTTATCGAAACTATCCGTAGGTCTTACTTGACCTGGCCAGGATGATCTTCGAGGAACAGAGCACCATCGAGCACATGGTCTTCAGGATCCTCACACACACTCAGTCTTTGATACAGTGCCAGCGAGTGCAGGTAAATACTAAAATGATAATTTCATTTGTATTCTTTACTCGAGGTGAATAGAAGTCGTCTACGAAGAAAATTCAACTACGAGAGAGGATACACAAGATCGGCTATGTGCAACTCCGGTATCTTAACATTTACCGTACATGGAAAATGAACCGTACATCACCCGAGACTATATTTATACAAGGATTGCGCGAACGTACTTCTGCTCGCACCCTCTTTCCACCCGATTAACCCCGCGGATAAATAATTAGGGCCGTGCCCGTAAATAAGTGTCCTATAAATTTCTTCGGGTGATTTATATTTTTCGAGATAATATTTTCCTTAGGCGCGATAAACGAGGTTGTGCTTTCCAGGTGCTGCTGGTCCACAAGGCGTCCAAGGGAAGCTTTTCTCGCGTCTTCGACTTCGAGGCGAACGACCTCGCAGGCGAGGACTCGGACTCTCGCACGAGGTGAATACGAGCTCGTAACTATACCAATCGATTTATTTCCTCGTCCAATGGCTTGCCGATTGAATTGCTCCAGTTTCTATTATCAAACTTGCGTGTTTCTCTCTTGCAGTCCCTTCGAGAGCAGATTCCCCATAAACGTCGGCATCACCGGCTACGTGGCGACAACCGGCGAGGTCAGTTCTCCACCTTCGACGTCCGACCAGCCTTGGACGAATGTTCCGTGCCGATTTATTTTCCGGGGAATTGACGTTTCAGGGACTCTGGGACTTCGAGCACGAAAGCACGATCGCGATAACAATTAACCGCGGGTTTAACATTCATTTTTGCCCGCGTATGACGTGACATAATAGGGTGCCATGACGCATGAAGCGTCTTGACGCAGGACGGTTATCGCTCCTTTTGATAGTGTTTTAACGCGGATGGAGACGCGAATTTTAAAAATGCTTAAGCAAAAAAAAATCGTAAAGTAACGAAAATCGAAAACCATGCTTTCAAATTTCAATTACGCCATTTCTAACGAGTGTTTTACTTTTCCAGACTGTCAGTATTCCGAACGCCTACGAGGATCCAAGGTTCGATCCCTCGGTGGACGATGGCACGGGATTCCGTCATCGCACGATCCTCTGCATGCCTATCAAGAATTCCTCCGGCCAGATCATCGGAGTGATCCAGCTGATCAATAAATTCGACGACCTCCAGTTCACGAAAAACGACGAAAACTTTGTCGAGGCCTTCGCGATATTCTGCGGTATGGGCATTCACAACACCCACATGTAAGAGAATTTTACTATTAATGAAATATAAAATCACTGGGAGAAGTTCAATTAAAAAAAATATAATTCTTCGACCCTCTGAATTAGGTTAAGAAAAATGAATCCACTAAACCTTGGTTCGTTATCAGGTACGAAAAGGCTGTGATAGCGATGGCTAAGCAGAGCGTCACTTTGGAGGTATTGAGCTACCACGCTTCGGCGTCCCTCGAAGACGCCCAAAGGTTGAGGGTTAGTGTCAAATAATTTTCCGTAACTAATCTATAGTCGTCCTTCCAACGACAGCCCTTTTACCGGCATTTTTCTGCCTTTGACCCAGCAGGGCTTAAGAGTGGCCTCGGCGGCCCACTTTCAGCTGCACGACTTCAAGTTCGATGACATCCACATGGAGGACGACGAGACCCTCACGGCCTGTCTTCGCATGTTTTTGGATCTCGATTTCGTTGAGAGATTCCACATCGACTACGATGTCCTCTGTAGGTGGCTGCTGAGCGTGAAAAAGAATTACCGCAACGTGATATATCACAACTGGAGGCATGCCTTCAACGTCGCCCAAATGATGTTTGCCATTCTGACCGTGAGTGGAGATTTGACCGAATCGCGGACTATGAATTTTGATATTTTCTTAATTTATGAACACCTGATTTTACGCGGATCTTTTTGTACAGGCTACGCAATGGTGGAAGATCTTTGGGGAGATCGAGTGTCTCGCCTTGATCATAGCATGCCTCTGTCATGATTTAGACCATCGAGGCACTAACAACTCCTTCCAAATCAAGTGAGTGGTTGTATATCATTTTGTAAAATTCCTCTCGGTGAACTATTCCTGAATTTTTTTTTTAATTCTAACATGTAATTTCTAGAGCGTCATCCCCACTGGCGCAGCTGTACTCGACCTCGACCATGGAGCATCATCACTTTGACCAGTGTCTGATGATCCTGAGTAGTCAAGGGAATCAGATCCTGTCAAATTTGTCTCCGGAGGAGTACTCAAGGGTTGTCAAGGTCCTCGAAGAAGCGATTCTATCGACAGATTTGGCTGTGTATTTCCGGAAAAGGGGAGCATTTCTCAGCCTGGCTCGCAGTAAAACGTACAACTGGGCTTACAGTGATCATCGAGAGCTGCTTCGCGGCATGCTGATGACCGTTTGCGATTTGGCAGCCATCACCAAGCCCTGGGACGTGGAGAAGCGAGTGGCAGAGCTCGTCAGCAGCGAGTTCTTCGAACAGGGTGACATCGAAAGGCGGACCCTGAACATAACGCCCATAGTTAGTTATTAGGATTTGTTTCCCAAAAACAGCAAATTTGTCGATCTACCGTTTAGACTCAATGATTCATTATTTTCCGCAGGATATCATGAACAGAGAAAAGGAGGACCAATTGCCGATGATGCAGGTCGGCTTCATCGACTCGATTTGCCTGCCAATTTATGAGGTCTGTATCCGGGGAGTGGATTCCGTTCGCGAAAGTTAAGTCCTCGTTAGATAAATCTTTAATACATTTTCGCATTCAGGCTTTCGCATTGCTGTCCGACAAGTTGGAGCCCTTGGTCCAGGGTGTGCGGAACAACAAACGACAGTGGCTAATGATAGCCGAATCAACGTGCCCTATGAAGAACTGCACAAACCACGACAGGTCGCCGGCAGGCTCGGATGCCGAAGAGACCAGTGAGCAGGCCGAACAGTAGGGTCCTGAAAATCGGTCTCAAGGATCGTAAAAATCGAAAGTCGGTCGGTCGACTCCGTCGATGATCGTCCCGCCGAAGCAGGACCAAACTTCGCAAATCAGCTATCGAGCAGGGGACCAAAATCCAAAACTGAGACTCTCTTGGGAATCGCCTGACCCGATTTCCACTCTAACGAGTTGAAGGATATCTTCAAATTGAGAGATACCAGGTTCATATAAAGGGAGGAAGAGAAATAAATTTACGAATCAGCACGAATCGGCTGATTCCGCCGAGTTTTGACGACCGAATTAGTTTTGGGTTGTGGACGAATTTTGGAACACTTGGGTGAGCTAGTGGGTTGTCGCATCGAGGATGTTCCTGGGATATCGTGCGATTATTAACCAGATATCCTCGCGCGAGGTGATAGATAGTATTTAAAGGGCTATGATACGTTTGCGTTTGTGTCAGCCGCCGTCGAAGGTTTGCACCAATGTCCAGTGCCAATTTCGTATTACGAAAATGGAATGGAAAAGTAATGCTTACGTCGGAGAGAATTTAATATTGCCGATCGGCTGTTCCGCCGGACCCAATTTTTTTTTTCCCAAATAGCGAAATATCCGGCATCAGCTGATCTGTAGGGAAAGACGGTGAAATATCTGCCAAATCGCTAGAATTTTCTCTTTACGGCAAGAAATCTATCTCAATTCTGAAATATTGTATTTTACATTTTTTATCTATTCTTAAATTATTTTTTTATGGGTTTCACGTCATATTTATATTCTAACGTATTTTTCCTTCAGATTTCGTAGTTGAAAAATCGAAGTTCCTTGTCTACTGACTGAATCATCTGAAAAAAGGCAAAAGTACCTCAAAGGCAAAACGACATTATTATACAAGTCAAGAGAGACATTCTAACACCCATTGGGACATTAATGACAAAGACAAAAGACATCTCAGAAAAATCAGAAGCAGCTCTCTGATTTTGGAAGTTTGTGCGTTCGTCGATTAAAAATTACAAGAAAATGATTTACAACTGTTGAAGTAGCAAAACATTTTCCTCGTGGTATTGCAACGAATTACAAATTTTTCAATTCTGTTTTTGCAACATAATGGCGAGCAGAAGTATTAAAATTAATAGAATATTTTTTCTTGAAATTCAGAATCGGTACACTTGGATGATATCATATGCTTTAGATCAACTTTTTTGTTCTTGGAGCGAAATTAAAAAGTAGAGACCCGAAAAAAGCTGTTGCAACCCTTGCTAATCAGCTCTTTGAAATGCTACTGTTGTACCTTATTGTTCTGTATATTCTGCAGACAATCCTGGAGTGGAAACCGAAGAAATGATAAGAATGACGGACGAAACGGACAAAAGACCAAGAAGGGAGATGGTACACAAGGTAAAACGCGAAATCGCAAAAAAAGGGGAAAGGAATCATTTTGTATGACGTTTATTCGACAGTATGACGGGCATGGCTAGGCCGAACGTGTAAAGATGTTTATTTTTAACATTGCAAGACGTGTAAGTAAATAATGTATTCGTATACCAAAGTGTACATTTATATCGAGCCGGAGAAATTGTGGGCGCGATCGCCCGGTTTATTCCGAGCGTGCTAATCGAATAGTTAATAATTACTAAGTGGAAATGAGCGAATTTTGTTCGAATCGAATCAGGTCAATTTCATCGTTGGACAGATGGAAGGGACATCATAAGAGTAATCGTTTCAATATTTGTCTCTCCATTTACATATAATGTCAATGTAAATAGAATTAATTCTAAGTCCGATTCTTAAACGTGAATAGAGTGTTTATAAAAATATTACACATTCATATTTTTTAACAATTCTATTTGAATACGGAATAACCTAATTTGACATATGAATTTGACTGCTAAAAGATTTTGTTGAGCGGCAACTTTCGATTGGAACAATTTCGAAATTCGCACATTTCTACAAATGAGAGAATGTCAGAAAGAGATGTTGAGTGCGTGTATAGATACGAACGAGAGAGATAGAGTACGTAAAGAGGAGGTGTAACTTCTTATTTCACTACACATTTTGTTTGAATTGCATGCAAAGACCTGATGACGTCAATTGTCTTTTATCGTGTCTACGCGTGATGACCTCAAAGTAAATCGAATTAAAAACAGTAAATTAATAAAATAAATACTACGCGAATCCATTTTTATAGATCTTAAGAGTCGTAAGAAAATTGCATGGTTTTTAAATTGTTAACTTTAAGTGGAGAAAAAGAAAAACAGCTTGAAGCATCACGCGTAAACACGACACATTCGACGATTTTCAAGGATAACCAAATCGACTGATCGCTGACCGATGCGGCGATTTGATCTTTTATCGAACGATCCTGGCTGTTTGGAAAATCTGGCAGAATGATCGCTTCCTATTAACGGAAGTCGATCGGTCTCCTAGACTTGGGCTTCTAGGACTCCAGGTAGTTCATTTAATTACGGCTAAATTAACTTTATACTTAATATATCGTCTATTTAAATAAGTAGTAAAGTCCACATCGATATGGTGATTGTGAAGTACTTTCCTCCACTTCCGGTGGGTATTAGGGATTCCAAGTGCGACGACTACATTTTTAGGAAGCTCGACATATCGCGTAGATTTTACTTCCTCGCCACACGAGGCCTATTTTCTACATTAAAATTTATTTAACGCATCGAGAATTCACGGTCGTGTCGCGAAGGCAGTATACGCACTTGAGGTGTGATCGTTACTTACTATATAGTCCATGTCCTCTATGTTCCTTTAATGTTTAAAGTGTCCTTTTTTATTGTCAGTTCTAATCTGCAAAAGGATTAGATGGGTTTCTTCGACGCGCACGGTTGCATGTATATGTGTATGTACGTTAAAAGCAGAAGAACGGAGAGAAGATACAGAAACGAAGGAGAGGATCCCGTGATGTACAGTTCGTGTAAATTATTGATAACTTGAAGAATGTCGATTACAGCGCACGATGTTTATTGTTACGATTAACGATTGCACGAGAGTTATATATATATATATATATAAATTTATATATATATATAAAAATCAATATCTAATATATTAAAGCGAGACTAAATTATGTGATACGCTGCGCTCTTTATTTTTCATACCTCCTCCGCAGTCATTAGACTCGCTATTTTATTTTGTCCCCTGTTTATTGATTAGATTAAATATTTTATTTCGGGACTTTATCGCGGTGTTGCGGCAACGACGATCTCTTGAAGTTATTGACAAGCCGCCTTCGATGTGGGTCAATTTAGACTGTGTCAAATTAATGACATTGTTGGCAACGCAAGGCCAAGTCTTTCGGCAGGCGGCCGTGAATAACATCGGCTAATCCAAGGCCTGTCAAATTGCCAACTTGACATGGCAATTCGCGAATTGCCGACCCTCGGTCTTTCGTCATGCAAGCATTCGTTTTGACACTCTTAGCGGTCATGAACCAATTTCATTGAACCGATTAATACTAATACTAATTTAGCATTATGCCATAATCACTTTCAAAGTTCAAGCAGGGAATTCTTTGTCAACGTCTAAACATTGAAATTATTTAAGATAAAACTTCTTTGTGCCAAATGACTGTCATACGAATGAATATTTAGATTCCGTTGAATTTGGCGCAGTTTCCATTTTTCCGGTGATTTATGACGCTAGTTAACGTGAATTTTTTTAAGTGTTTATTCCGAAGCAGTCTAAAAAATTGAATTCCCTTTTTTATTTTGCCAGCCGACGTTTCTACTCAGCGTGAATTTTGCAACGAGGGAAATGCCCGCTGTCTTCAAATTATTATCTTGAAAACTGTCCAACGTGGTAAACTCATGTTGCAGGAAATAAAGATCGAGCTACTTCCGCAAAGCGCTTGGCAGGATATCTTTGGATTTCGGATTAATCCCAGTCAACGCTCATTTTTATTAGCAGCTATATTTAAACCCACGTTAAACAAGCTCGATATTAAACCTCGAGGTCGACACGCAGACCAGAAACTACTTTCACGTTCCCCTCCTGACATTAATTTTTATTATTACAGTTTACATACTCCACTACCGACAGGGTAATAGAATAACGAAAAGCGGTCTTAAATACTGTACGGCAAATGTCGAAGTTAATTTTTCACGTTTCTTTTGCTCGCGATGTGAACATTCTAAACGCCTAAATTTGTTACAAATATCTCCAATTATCTTGCCTATGTTGAGTTAGAAACCAGAAAAAAAATAAATACGCAATTAAGCTTCAAGCCTGCACTTGCTAATTCCACGAGGTAACGAGGTACTGCACTTGGGTTGCTTGTAATTTTTGGAAACGACATCCGACAAGCCAAATCGCTGTCGCCCCGCCGGAAATTCGACCTAAATTTTTCCAAGAGAGTTTGGCACAATTTTTGCTTATCAAACTGTTTGCGTGCCGCTTTGGTATCGACAGCTTTGCTCGGGATCATTGGCTCCGAGCCTCCTGATGGATCCGATGATTTCTTACCACCGACACGACGAAATTGTTGCCGGCCTTGACAAGGCGATCATGGGCTTGCGAGTGGGCCAATTGATGAAGTGGAAGTCCGTTCAGTCTTATCAGAACATCCCCGGGCTGCAAGCCCGCCTCGTCTGCCAAGCTTCCTCTCGTCACCTTATCAATGAAACCGGAAAAGATTATTTCAAGATTTCCTATCTAAAGCTTCGATTGAACCGAGAACTTTGAAATATTGTCATAAATAGCTTGGTACCGAGACTTAGTGCATCCGATTGATGTACCATCTTATGGATCTTATCGATACTTTTTCTGACTCACTTTTGGCATCACGCGAATAATGGAAAAATATTCAGAAGACATTAGCGATGGCCTCGGATGATGTACGAGATAAAGAGGAATTGATTGAAATGTGGGATAATAGATCTGAAAAGTGGGAAGGAAACTCACCCTCACGACGGTTAAGGGGTGCATGAAATCCGCTCCTCCCGACAGCCGAAAACCCCAAGGGGTGTTACAGAATCTTGACAGTTTTATATCCACCGCCATGTTGGTTTTACAGATTACTCTCGCCAGGGAAACCTGGGGGAAAATCGTCGGGAATCAGAGGAGGTGATCCTAAATGTTATTTCATCGCCTGTTTAAATGCCCATCTACGCGTACTCTAATAATTGTGCATTATCGAGTCGAAAGAAAGACGCCCTTTTAATTCCGGACAAGCTCGCAACTTTTCGACACTTCCACCCCTCTTGAAACGATCGACTTCCCTCGAGGGTCAGAACCTATAAGACCGATGATATATAGACTTTAATCAGGGAAGCTTGCACCAGGGGTGAGCTTCCAAATCTGAAAATCCCCGAACTTTCTCACATACTCACCCCCCGGGTAAGAGCTCGGGGGAGAATTTCCCTGTGATTAGTGATTACCATGATTGCCACTAAGAACCGTCATTGAGGAAACTTTTTCAATTTTAGGAAGTCACTCGAAACTGCCCATTATCGCAAATGGCGTCGTTTATCTTGAAAGCCTCCCTTCCGCCCTTTAAATGCGCCTCCAGTTTCGAACACTCCGATTTCCCTCTAGTTGCATTTCTTTAAATCTTACGAAAATCTTCATTTAATTTTCAGTCACGATAATTCACACTAAAGTCGACGATATGTTCAACGTCACTATTTGAAATTACTTTCACTTCTCTTTACGTTAATCGACGTCACTTTTTTATATAGAATCGGCGACTCCACCTTTTTAGAGTTCATCGCGTTCAAGTCGCGGTATCTGAGGGGATCGTTTACATAAATAATTGATAAAATGCAGACGCGTCTTGGACTTCCGATCACCAGCTGTAAATCTCTAATCACCTGCCACAAGGTGAGCCTCCGTCGTTTTTACGACACCCTTCGGAATCGGTCGAACCAGGCGCCTCCACTTCCAAGTCGACACACACGACATGGAAAATCGGGAGCCGCGATTTTGTCGCGCATATATGAATATTTATATATATATCGTGTATATATATATGTGTATGTATAAATCTAAAGAGGAGAGTCGGCGACGCCACCCGGCAGAAAGCTCGCGCCTAGGAGGACTTCGAAGCTTCTAAGTCGACTCGCTACGAGCTGCAAGCTCAAGTCCGAACAATTATAGCAAGGCGAGGAGAGGGTCGAGAAATGGAGGGGATTCGTATGCCTGGGCTTTCGTACTATTTCCGATGCAAATGAGGAACAAGCTCGTTTGTAAAAGCTCGAACAATGCCGCCCGTGTCGAAAGGCGCATTAATCGTTAAGGCGGATTTCCAGGGAAGCGCAAATGGAAAGCTGCAGTGGACACGCTTTGCATTTTTTATCGGGGGGCTGTAGAAGCTCCCACAAAAAAAAATTATTTTCAATTATGTGCAAAGACTTTTCGGAAGTACTGACTCGTGCGGGAAGCTCGCGATTAGAGCGGGATAATTATTTTGTCCGTTAATTTTTTTAACGTTTGGAAATATATTTTTAATATCTATGGAAAATTGGTGGTACAATATCTTGGTTGAAGGTGTTATGAGATTTTCGCAAAGGGAGGAACAATGCTTTTTGATAAAGGTGTCTCTTGAAACGAACAGTAAGCTTGGAAAGTAAAGTGAGAACAATGGGGCCTCTTGTCGAAAGTCCTGTAAATTATTAAGGCACTTCCTGTCCGTGAGACGCGAAAGCTTGCGGCACTCGTCCAAAAATTTTCCCTCGGAGGAAAAACCAGACTTTGGGTTAATTATGCTACGGGTGTTGGCGAAAATCAAGAACAGACGTCGGGGTCCTATAAAATCGGCAGAAATTAGATAAATATTGTGACGTTAACATTTTCGACATCGAAGAAAGTATTCGGGTTAAACTCATCTCCTATGCTAAAATTGGGGGATCGTGGTCAGGTGTCGGGAATCGCAGGAGTAACATTTCAATACACGTGACACTTAAATCAAAACCATTGCCAAGAATCGGGAAACTAAAATCCGATTTTGCCAGTAAGGAGGGTCATGTTACCGTAAAATAAAAAATAGCACCCCTTTATTTCTCTTTTATCTCTAATTTTTAAAAAATACTGGGCAGGCTTAATTGCTCGTGAAAAGTCGATCAAAACCGTAAGTCTGGAAGTAATTGTCCATTTAGCTTGACAATTACGAAATCAATTTCTAAGGAAGCTGAGATTGACGATTTTCGAATACGTGGATCCGATAATGAGTCACCGACGAATTGTACTTCAGACAATTAGAGGAGGGGAACGATTAGTCTTCGAATACAATTGCATTCTCGGTACTTTGCATAATTACGAATTAAGGGAGCGTTTAACTGTCTCGTAAAGAGCGGGTAACGAGGGAACGATATTTTAAAGATTAAATTTTATCTCCTCGCCCGGAATGGATTTGCGTTCTCGTCCCCACGACAAAAAAAAAAAAATAAAAACTTCCATTCTCGAAAAATACTTCATGCAAATTTTTTTCCCATATGACACGTTTCCCCTTCATTTTCTCTCTCGAAATTGCGAAATTTCCCTCGAGAATCGGGAACTCGGCTAACAGCAGATTGGTCAAAATTCATCTCCCCTCTCTGACATTTTCCACTTTTTGAATGAATTTCCATAAACTTATTTCTTCCCCAGGAAACATAAATAGTTTACGTCAACCTGTCACCTCGAAATCGACATCCACTTTGCTGGATTTCGATCCTACTTTCGATATCCTGAAGTTTACATTAAACTTTTTAGCATATCGAAAAGATTTTTGATCGCGCTCGAACGTCGCCGGAGCTTTCGCGCTTCCGCGGCGGAAATCTACCCGAGGTTGAGTTATTTCAGTTTCCGATATGTCAAAACCCGAAATTTCCTGCGAGCGAAAGGCACCCCCGATAGGAAGTTTTCCCTTCCCCGGACCGAGGTTTCCGTCGTTTCCGCCTTCCGGAACGAGATGTGCCCCGAGACGTAAACGCTTGATTTCGCGAAGGGCGCAAACTCCGTTCCCAGCGACACAGCTGAGCGAGCTTTGAGCAGTCGCGGACCGAGCTTCGAAGGGGTAGGTGCTTCTCCTCTCGCTCGGCCGGCCTTTCTTGCTTTCTTCCTTTCTTCCTTTCTTCCTTTTTTCGGGAATCTCCCTC